ACTATCTTCCCTCTCCATCTAGGACTTAGCAGGTTTAAGCAGCAGTACTCAATAAAAGTTACCTAATAACAGTGGTTGACGAGTGTCGCTCCACCTCGTCCCCACCTTTGCTGAGACTGAACAGCCTACCGCGAATATGTGCCGCTTTCCCTTTCCCCACATAATCTACAATGATATGGGCCAAACTAAAACCGCCCTCTTCTGAAACCCAGCAGTTCTCTGAACTTGACACCTAGACTCTTAAAGTGCCTAGCTTGTACAGTCCACCTGCCCACTCCGAGGACTCCCTATGGTTGGAGTCAAGGCTCAACTTTGTGTCTCCCAGCCGCCGCGCAGAACTCTGTAGGACCGTTCTACTAGACCAAGAAGGAAAGGGCTCCACGCGCCACAGGGCGGATCGAATTTAAAATTAAAAAGTAATACAAAGTATCTGGCTCAGGAAGACGCCCCCTTTCCCCGTACTCCAGGTGTCAAAAGGACACCCCTATCCCTCATATCACAAAGTCACCTTCCCAAGGCATAGCCTGTGCAAATGCAAGCCACCACTACTACTGCCACTGGAACCCCTCTGCACTGGCCTGGGAAAGGGAGCAGCTGCAAGGGAATGGGAAAGCGAGCCTCAAATTCTCTACGAGATAATGGGATTCAGTGGTATCCAAACGCCCTTTCAGCTCCGTTCCCCAGCAGGCACCGGGGCCTCACTTCGCGTTTCGGGAAACCAAAGAACGGAAAACGACACAATGAGACAAGAGCAAGCCAGATTCTCAGCGTTCTGGCCCTTCCCTTCCCGCCGCCCGGCCTCCCTCACCCGGAAGTGCTGGTCCCGGTACTGGCTCAGCTCCACGTAGGAATCGCTGCGCAGCGCCTTCAGAAGGCCACCAGACATAGTGCAGAGAGGTGGACGAAGACACCGCCACTCCAGGAACAACGAGGCTGCTGCGGCGCTGGCGGAAGCGGAAACGAACGGAAGCGGCTGCAAAAGGTGGGCATCCTGTGGACCAATCCAAGCACAGCAGTGTCGTCAGCGGGCGGCGCGGGCGCAGACGTGGTCCGTCTTTATTTGTCGGCCGTCGGAAGCGAGAGTGGCGTGCTGCGGGTTCCGGGTCGTTCAGAGGATGGTTCTTCGGCGGCTGTTGGGCGCCCTGCTGCACAGCCCGCAGCTGGTGGAGCGTCTGTCCCAGTCTAAGCCCATCCGGCGTGCGGCGCAGCTCACGGCCTTCGCGCTGATGCAGGCCCAGCTGCGCGGCCAGGACGCAGCCCGGCGTCTTCGAGCCCTCGCGGCTGGGCCCGCGGGCTCCCTAGGTCGCCGCGCTGCCCGCTTCAGAGACACCTTCACTCAGGAGCTGCGCCGCGGCCTCCGGGAACGCCCGGGGTCACCGCCAGGTAGCCAGAGGGGCCCGGGCGCTAACCCCTAAACCCAAGCTGGGCCGGGCCAGGGTCGCCGGCTTTCCCTTCTGGGTTCAACGCGGGCCTCGGCGCTAAGCAGTCATCCTGGGCACTGAGCACGACTTTGAATCCCGAGTCAGACTGTCGGCTTTCAGAGGTCTCATTCATCAGAGAGCCCAGGCCAAACCGACATCCCCGGGAAGCCCTGCGATCGGACTGGGCACGGCGTGAAGAAAGCCCCCCAAGCCCGGGCCCTGATACATCACGTACAGAGAGCCATGACCCGAACCACAGCCCGAAGGAGTCTGCCCTGTGCGCATGGGACTAAAACTCGTGTTCAGTGATGCCGCCTCTGCACTGATAGAGCAGCGCGCTACTTCCAGGGGAGAGAGCATGGATGGAAAGACACAGCTGCCAAAATACTCTGATTAAATGTGTGAGCCGAGTAATGGGTGTGAGTGTGGTACTTCTCCAGCGAGATGGGTTAGGGTTCCTGGGGACTGTAGGCCCATGGTAATACTCGTTAGCGCATTTGGAGTGTTTACTCTGTGCTGGTACCTGCTAATTGCACTCCGTGTGGGTTATCTCACTCCTTACAATCACTTTCTTTTCTTTTTTTAAGGATTTTATTTATTTGAGAGAGAGAGAGAGAGCACAAGCAGGAGGAGCGGCAGGCAGAGTAGGCAGAGGGAGAAGCAGGCTCCCCGCTGAGCAGGAAGCCCGATGTGGGGCTCAATCCCAGGACCCTGGGATCATGACCTGAGCCGAAGGCAGACGCTTAACGACTGAGCCACCCAGGCGCCCCGTATCCTGGCCTTTCTGATAGTTACAGAGAAGGAGCTGGATAGGGCCAGAGAGACCTCCTGTGGGGATGGAGAAGCTCAAGTAACATTCCTAATGTTCGCACTTTTGATTTGATATCCCATCAGAGGTGCTGCTGTTTAATCCTCTCTAAGGCCCGAAGTCCCACTCCGAATGACCAAAGTCCTGGTTTGGCATCCTACCCTCCTATCCTACCAAAGGACAAATACTCCTCCCAGACCACAGGCAGCTCTGGATTCTACTTTGAGGCTGGCAGGGAGGAGCCTGAGGAGCTTGTTCCTTCTATGGCCTTTCTGCCACATTGGTCTCAGCCCCACTCATTTGTGTCTAGATCTCAGCAGCAGAATATTAGCAGTCCCCAGCCTGACTCCCTACCCTCAACATAGGTAAGCACACTCACTGGTAGGTCTTTTCTCCAGACGGGCAGGGACAAAAAGGGAAGCAGTGCTGGAAGCCATGAAACTACTGGACAAATTGGTCATTTTGGTAAGAGGAGAGAAAGCAAGAGAAGGGGGCAATTGTTTGTTTCTCATGGAGGAAGTGTGTAAGAACTAAGTTCCCTCCATTTTTCAGAGGGAGTCGGAGCAGAGAGAGAAAACGGTCCTTTCTGCTCCAGCTACAGGTCATTTGGACGCCTCCTGCTTCACTGGAGAAGCCTCCACTGATTGTAGCCACTGGCTTGCCATCCCACCAGTTACCCTCTTACTAAAGAGAAACATCACATTCTTCCCACCACCCCCAGTGGCAATCTCCCCAGCAAGCTTTTCAAGCTTTTCTAAGTTCTGCCAGAAAGCAAAGCAGGGAAGCAACTTACCCTGCTATCTTGCAGGGCAATTCTGATTCACCCCTTGATACTACATAGACCTAGATATCAACACTTTATGGACAAATTTATTAGAGGCCAGACCAACAATCTACATGGACTACTACAACCAAGTCCCTGGAATTCCTCCAGGGAATTCTGAGATTGTGGATGCAACTGGGGGAGAGAAGAGGCAAAAGTCTCAAGAAGTTTTGGGATCCTAGAGTCTGGGGTGTCTCCAAGATGGCACTTGGGCAGAAAAGCCATCTTTGGCTGCAAAGTAAACAGTAAGTGTTTACTGTGTGCCAGAGATGATGCTAAGCTCTAGGGATAGGAAGACAAATCAGAGGTTCATAGAAACATAAACCACAAGAGCAATGCATTGACATGAATGGGTACTACGGAATTTAAAAGAGGGAAATGTCCAGTAGTTTGCTGGAGCCAACATCTACTGGCTCCTGAGAGCAGATCTTTGGCATCTCCTCCCAACTTGGAGTTCAGTAGCATCATTTTGGTAGTTTGAAATCAGCCAAGGTGGGAGTATTTATGCCACGGGAATCGGCCAATGCTACGCATGGGGGCTTTTCTGCCCCCAGAGAGTGGGCTGCTGAGCCCTGACGGGCATATCACTGACTCTGCTCTTGCTCAGGGCTGGAGTCCCGAGGAGGGCGTGGTGCCAAGACGAGCAGCTGCCCCAGAGCAGCACGACTGGGCGCCGTTGCTCCGAGTTGACCCAAACCTCAGCCAGCAGAAGGCAGGACTAGAAGAGTGCTCAGGCTTGGTCATTAGTATTGGTTTGGTCTCCAGCTCTCCGCCGATTTCTGTGGGCTGCATGCCACTTATTCGCAGGAGGCGGGAGGGATTTGAGGAGGGGGGGTGAGGACAGGTTGAGCGCCGCGGCTCCTCACCTTCCCAGTGGATTGGCAGCGGTGCCCCTAGGTGTGGGGAGCCCTGCGCCTGGGGCTGTGATGGCTTTCACTAGAGCAGCAGGTGCTCCGCTCCATCCTGTGAAGAGGTTTCTGACCAGGGCTTTGAGCTTAGACAGTGACCAGATCGCACTGAAGCAGTCTCTGGGGGCACCAGAGAGTTCTCAAGTGCAGCCAGCTACTAACAGCATTGTTTGTTCTCCATTCCCACTTGCGCAGGCTGAGGAGGGAGAACATCTGGGTTCCCCAGTCCCAGAGAATGACCCTTAAAGGGTGAGATGCAGAAAGGTCCCACCGCCTCTCTCGGGGACAGGCGTAGAAGAGGATGGGGAGAAAAGTTCCAGAACTACTTGTTTTGGTAATAACCAAACGCTGAGATTAACAGGCACCAGAGTACCACACCCATGCTGCTTAAGGAGCTTTGGGACAGATATGCCTGTTTAGCCAGGGTACATGTGCTGCAGACCAGGGCATGACGCAGTGTTAGCTGGCAGACACCTCTTAGATGCTTTTATCCACTGGAGAGATTGGGAACTGAAGCTAGGTGAGGGGAAGGGGCTTTCTTAAGATCACACAGCCAGGGAGTGGCAGGCAGACCAGGGACTGGACCTCAGGTCTCTCCAGTCAGAGCTGCCTGCTCTCTCTGTATCACCACACTGCCTCCTTCCTGGTGACCCAGGAAGCCGGAGGGTTATCATGACAGCAAGAGGTAAGGCATCCTGGAAGGTTTGAGAGAGGTCATTCAGAAATGTCATTAGCAGATCTCTCTCTTTTCATAACCAGGTGCTCTTATATACCAGAACATCACAGGGGCTAGAAGGGATAGGGCAGGAACAGACATGAGGCTGTTCACCAGACACTGGTTACACCAGCTTCTTTGGGGACCTGGCCAGATCTTTGGTCTTTAAGGGGAAAAGGGTGCCAGCTTACCCAGAAGGCGGAGCAGCCAAAGCCCATGCACAGGGGAGGCAGTAGTGGGAATTCCGGAAGGGAAAGGAAAGGAAGAGAACCAGGGCTCTGCTCCAGCCCAGCCACCCACAGAGAAGGTGGAGTGGTGCCTTCACCTATGGCTGAATCATGGGCGGCGGCTTTTTGGTGACATTGTCAGGCTTCTCCCCTAGTTCCAAGATGTGGAGGCTGAGATGGTCCCTCCAAGCCCCACTCAGCAGTGAGGACAGGGCTGGTGGGTCTTCCAGGGTCACGTGGGGAAACAGGAGTGTCTCACTCTTGAGAGGGAAGTGGCACTTCTCCATGGCAGGCCTGGCGGTGCCAGGGGTCACCACAAAAAGGCGGCAGAGCCACGGCCCACCAGCTACCTGGCAGGCTGGTTGTCTGGTGAAGTTGTTCAGGGCTCGGCACAGGACCCAGTCCTCGGTCCCGCCCATGTCCACCACCTCCACGGGTGAGCCCAGGCCCGGGAGGTGGAGAAGGTGCCGGGGGGGCATGTAGGTGTGGGTGAAGAGGAGTGTGTAGTGGGTGGGTAGGCTGGGGGGCGCAGGTGCATGAACCACCTGCTCCAGGTGCCCCAGGCTGGGCACTAGGCCCCCCTGATGCAGGCAGCCAAAGAAAAGGGCACCCAGGACATTGAAGAGGACCAGGGAGCCCTTGCAGGGCACAGGCTGGGTCTGTGGACTACAAAGCAGGACGAGGGGGACCAGGAGGGGGATCAGGAACCGAGCCTCCTGGTGGCTAAAGGCAGAGAGCAGGGCCAGGGGCGTGAAGTAGAGGAGCAGGAGGTGAGACCCGGGGCCAGACAGCAGGCTCCGGCCCCCCAGAGCCCTCCGGAAGCGCATTTGTGCAAAGGCCTGGAGGCAGGCTTGCAGCTGTTGCCACGCCGCACGCAAGGCCCGGGCATGCAGCATCCCGAAGAGCAGGAAACCATTGACTGCCAGGTGAGTGAGCCGCAAATGTGTGCCGTGCCTCGCCAGGTTCTGAGGATCCAGGTTGTAGTACAAGAAGTTGGCAGGTGTAAGAACAAGGGTACTGGATCTAGAGGGACTGGAGAAATACCAGCTGTCCACAGCCACAAACACCGCCGCCACGAGGCTCGCCCCGGGGAGCAGTGCCAGGGCCTCCTTCGCCAGCGACCTGAAGCCAGGGTCTGCGGCCCCACAGGTGCTCCAGAGGAAGAGTGGGACCAGAGCAAAGGCCAGAAACGTGGGCCGGTTGAAGAAGCCAGCAGCCACGATGCCCCCAAGAAGCCAGCTGTGTGCCCACGGGCCCGGAGCAGGCTTCCTGCGTGTGGGGCTCCAAGCTAACCGGGGGGACACCAGCACCAGCAGCCCGGCGAAGAGCAGTCCCTCGATGGCGTTGGAGAAGGTCCTCGTGTAGAAGACCAGGGTGACGTAGGAGCCAGACAGCAGGACCAGGGCGTTCCAGCGCTCCGCCCCCCACAGCGGGGCCAGGCGGTACACGGCCAAGTCCAGGGCGAAGGAGAGGGCAGTGAGGAGGAGTCGGGGCCCCACCAGCAGCACGTAGCCACTCACTGGGCCCGGCCACGGTCCCCACTGTTCCCAGAGCCTGAGCAGCCAGAAGGTGGAGCCGGAGGTCAGCAGTGGGAAGAGCACCGTGCGGCAGGAGCTGCTGGGGTGGAATTCCCAAGGCCGTGCAGCTTCGATGCCCAGGATGTCCTCTGCGGACAGAGAAGCAGAGGTGAGCCAGGTCCAAGCGCAGGGGATACGGCCCCAAGATGCTCCCACCCCCTCGTGAATGTGCCCCGCACAATCCCCGGGACTCTGGAGACGATGGGTTTTACTCCGGTGCTTAGGTTATGTGGCAGAGGACAGCGACCATTAGATAGGGGGTAAACCAGTGTGGGCCTGATGTAACCACACGAGCCCTTTAAAAGCGGAGAATTTTTTCAGCTGGTGGCAGAAGAGGACGTCAGAGATTCAAACCATGAGGACTTGATGCATGTTGCTGGCTCAAAGGTGGAGGGACCCCTGGCAAGGATGGTGAGTGGCCTCTAGGTCCACAGCAGCAATAAACCGAATCTGTCCAACAGACGAGAATGAGCTTTGAACAGGTTCTCCCCCACAGCTTCCGGACAAGTACTCAGCACAGCCCAGACCTTGATTTCAACCCTGTGACACCCTGAGCAGAGAGCGCATACCTAACCTCTGATTTGTTAGACAGCAATAGAAATGAATATAGGAGAGCTCAGCCCTTCCAAGGTCTCCCTGTAGAGGGGGCCCAGGGGAAGCACGCCTGGGAAGTGAGGGGACTGTGTGCCCTGGGCCAGGTGTGTGGGGGGAGGGGCAGGGGGAGGCTCCAGTCCTCTCTGTGGAGTGCTAAAGCCTCCAAAGTCAGAGTCAAAAACCCATCCCTGTGATGATGGTTGTTATTCACGACAGGCGCGTGAGACCGGGGAGGGGAACGAGCGATTACGGTTATGGTCAGAAGAGACTTTGGTGTTGTCTGTGATACTTAAGATGTTTAGAAGAACATATTCAAGCAGTACTCATGTAATTAAAAACCTGCTTGGCTTCCTGGGGCTGGTCTGGGCCCCTGTCCCGCAGTGTCTCAGAGCTCTGAGGGGTGGGGGTGAGCAAACCCAGCTCTTAATTTCTGCATCTCAGCTCCAAGCCCCATATCTCAGGCTTGATAACATTGCTGGCTGTTTGGGGCTCTTGACTTCTATTTATTCCTACAGCCTCTTTGCTGTCTTCTCTTTCCATGTCAGAATGTGAAAGGCAGCGGCGCCTGGGTGCCTTAGTCGGTTAAGAATATGACTCTTGATTTGGGTTCAAGTCATGATCTCAGGGTCCTGAGATCCAGCCCTGCTTGAGGCTCCAAGCTCAGCGGGTAGTCTGCTTGAAATTCTCTCTCTCTCCCTCTGTCCCCTGTGGCTAAAATAAATAAATAATAAATAAATAAATACCTTAAAAAAAGGAAGGTCAAAGGGAAACAAAATCAAGGTCAGATCAGTCTGGCTGTTTTTTTTTTTTTAACTGGCTCAGGTTAAAAAAACTGTGGCAAAGACTGGACCTTTCACCTGAAGAAACAAATCCAGCTGTGAGCCCTATGGCAGGGCCAGCTGCATGTCTCCTCAATATCCATTGCTTCCTTCCTTCCTTAGTCTCTTTAGCTGGGCATCTGGTCAGATATAAAGACTATTTTTCAGCTTCCTTCACAGCTAGGTGTGTTCACGTAATACATTCTGACCATCAGGATGGAAATGAGCAAAAAGTATGTGACATTTAAAATATGCCCTTAAAGAGGTGTCTGGCTTGCTCAGTCGGAGGAGCACGTGACTCTTGATCTTGGGGTTGTAAGTTTGAGCCCTATGTTGGGTACAGAGATTACTTAAAAATAAATCTTAAAAAAAATATATATGCCCTTAAAGAGAGCAGGCATGCCCATCTCCTCTCCAGTGGCTGGAAAGACTTCATTTTAGACTTGATGGCTGGAGCTCAAGCAGCCATTTTGAACCATGAGGAGGAAGCCATGTGCCCACGGCATCTGAAAAGCCTCACAGTCCCTGGCAATCATTCTCATGATGTATCCTACACCCCTCTGCAGATAAATTCTAACAAGTGAGCATTCCAGGCCTGGATTCCCTTACCCCTCAGATGAAACTAGAGAAGAAAAGTTTCAGTATCTCAGACCACAGCCCTGTGTAAGCTTCCCAAGCACCCAGGAAGCCCAACTCTAAAATCTCTCCACTGAGTAGTCCGAAACAGCTTTCACTATGAATAACTTGCACTGTTGGTCCAAGCAGGAAAACATTAAAGAGGCTGGCATTTCATTAGTATCATCCAGAAGGTCAATGTCACCGGTCAGGAAGGAGATGTGAAATCCCCCTCCGAAGTTCTTATTCCAGAGAGGCACATGGATTTACTGCTCAGTCACACAGACATAGTTTCTCCCTCCCCCTGAACATTCAAACAGCAACAGTCCAGACTTTGCTGCAGCTTAACTTAACCGCACGTAGGGAATTTACCTGCCATGACCTCAGGTGATTGGAAGAACTCATCTGGGTGCACGTAGCCTGTCTGTGGCAGGAGGCACCACACCAGGCGGAGCAGGCTGAGGCTGCCCCACAGCGCCCGGAGTGCCATCTTCAGATCAAACTGCTAGCCAAGACCCCACGCCAAGAGCCTAGAATGGCTTCTCAGTCCGCTACAGATGCTGTTCTGGTTCCACGGACCTGCATCTGCTGAGGACAGCATTTGTTAGTTGTTATAAGATGAATCATAATATGTTCAGTTGTCTGAACAAACTCAAAACTCTACATACAATAAGAGCTGCTATTTATAAGTGCCCACTACGTAGCAGAACTTCATGTATGTATCTCATTTCATCCTTTCTACATTCTGGGGCCGTGGGTCTTACTATCGCCATTTTTAAAAAAGATTTTATTTACTTGTTTGTCAGAAAGACAGAGAGAAACAGAAAGAGAGAGAGAGAGAGCACAAGCAGGGGGGAGCAGTAGGCAGAGGGAGAAGCAGGCTCGATGCGGGACTCGATCCCAGGACCCTGGGATTATCACCTGAGTCAAAGGCAGATGCTTAACCGACTGAGCCACCCAGGAGTCCTTTACTATCTCCATCTTACATATAGGGAAACTGAGGCCTCTGTTGAGTGACCTAGTTACTTGCTAACGTATTTGCTAGTGTCTAAATATGACATCTGCAAATAGGATTTAGGATGGCCTCCAAATACAGGTCTCACAGCCCCATCCTGTTCACCAGCTCCTGTCCACAGGCAAGCATGGCAGCCTGTCTCTTGCACTTCTGAAAATTTGGGACCTCAATGCATTCCATCCATTTCCCCGCAAAAATAAACTACATTTGACCCCACTGTCTCCAGTCACTCCCTCCAACCTTCACACACCCTGAAATTTACCTGTGGAAGGTGATGAGAAATTACTGCTATGGTCAGAACGTGTGTACCCCATCCCATTAAGATGTTGAAATCCTAATGACGGATGTGATGGTGTGAGAAAGGGGAGGCCTTTGGGAGGGAGACTTTCTGGGTGGAGCCCTCATGAATGGGATTAGTGTTCTTATAAAAAAGGCCCCACAGAACTCCCTCATCCCTCCCATCCTGTGAGGACAGAGTGGGAAGGTATTGGCTCTGTGCCAGGAAGAGGGCCCTCACCATGCCGGCGCCTTATCTTGGACTTCCAGCTTCAGATCTCTGAGAAATAAGCCACCCAGTCTGTGATATTCTGTGATAGCAGCCTGAGCACACGAAGACACTTCTTCATCATGGGGATTCTTAACCGCCCCCCTCCAGACTCAAAGATCAGTAGGAATCGGAGCCCATTGCATGACGGACCTATATCCCAGATATCAACACCCTCGTATCATCTCTGGTGAACAGAAAAACAAGTTTGACTCTCCTCCAAGAATACATATGGTGACTGTTTCCTGACTTTGATATTTTAAAGACTGACCTTAAACAGCCGTTGTTCTCAGGTGGAATATGTCATAGCAGCGGAGATGAGAGAGAGTGAAGCAACACGACAGGAATCCAGCAGATGCTGACAAGGAGCCATCTTGATACTAATACCTCAAGAAGTTTGAAAGATAACTTTTGCAGTCTCTGCTCGAGCTTTTGGACTGAATTATACAGATTCTTTTTCCAGAGCCAGTGAAGGAATATCCTGACTTTTAGGGAGATAAGATGAGGCTACACTTGGTGCTGGGATGCAAGCAAGGATCCTATTCCTCCCCAAGGAACGCCTGAAAGAGGACTTCAATTTCCTCCATTTTGGCCTTAGTCTGTACTTGATCACTGATTAAATTCTTCTTTCCAGCTTACCTCTTAACTCAGGCAAAAGACCCTGCAGGCAAAGCATCCCCTGAGGGGAACCAAACTTACCCCTTCAAGCAATTAGGACTGCCCTGAGCCAGCAAGCCCCGTGGGACTGACCCCAAGGCAATGGCCGACCTGACCTTTCCTGCCCACCTGCATAGTCCCATGTCTTCCCGGTGTTGGCCTCCCTGAAATAAATTCCTTTCCTGTTTCACCACCACTTGTCTCTCTGCCTTTGGACTTTGTCAGCAGTGAGTGGCTGAACCGGTCTGTTGGGGACCCTGAGAGTCAGGGGCTTGCACCTCTGCGCCCACTCACATGCCCTCACTTTAACTTTCCTTCCAGGCTGGGATTCAAAATGCATTGTAATTTAGCAGCTTACACAATGAGATTGAGTTTGGTTTCCAGCAATTTCAGCCCTGCAAGTAACAAGAGAGAAGGGTCTCCTTCGGGGCACACACAGGTCATTTTATGAGGACCTTGCGCTGGGAATTTGAAGCCCAGCAAAGGCATCATATACATGGTCACCGAAAACCTTGCCTGGGGTATCTCAAATGCCACATCACTCCATGGACTACCAGTGCTCTCTTCGCCACTCGAAATAGTGCCTTTAAATCTAATCAGTCTAGAGAACCAATTCCAGAAAACCCAGAACCTCTATTCAGAAAACTCATGAGATTCTGTTCCTCTAGAACCACTTACAGTTATAAAGTCTGTATTAGTCAGGATTCAGCCAGAGAAAGAGAAACCAAACCATAGGAGATATACATTAAGATTTATTGCAAGGAACTGGCTTATGCATTTGGGGGGCTCGGTAGGCAAATCTAAAATCTATAGGGCATTAGGGAGGGCAGGCCACTCTGGGGCAGGAGATGAAGCTGCAGTCCACAGAGGGAAGTTTCTTATTCAGGAACATCTTGGTTCGTTCTAAAGTCCTTTCAACCGATTCTATCAGGTCTACCCAGATTATCTAGAATAACCTCCCTTATTTAAAGTCAGCTGAGGGGCACCTGAGTGGCTCAGTTGGTTAAGCATCTGCCTTCAGCTCAGGTCATGATCCCAGCGTCCTGGGATCAAGCCCCGCGTTGGGCTCCTTGCTCAAGGAGAGTCTGCTTCTCCCTCCCCTCCCCGCTCATGCTCTCTGTTGCTATCTCTCTCAAATAAATAAATAAATAAAATCTTTAAAAAAAAAATAAAGTCAACTGATTGTGGACTTGCATTGCATCTACAAAATACCTTCACAGCAACATTTAGATTAAGTTTGATTAACTGGGGACTATCGCTTAGTCAAGTTGACAAAAAAAACCTGACCATCACACTCTAGATAATTCAGGGTTTATAACTGTGTCTGAATTTTATTATTTATTTTTGTAAAAGATTTATTTATTTATTTGAGAGAGAGAGAGAGTGGGGGGAGGGGTAGAGGGAGAGTGTCTCAAGAAGACTCCACACTGAGTGTGGAGCCTGACGTGGGGCTCAGTCTCATGACCCAAGATCACAAGCTGAGCTGAAACCAAGAGTCCAACGCTTAACCGACTGTGCCACCCAGGCACCCTTCTGTGTTTGAATTTTATTTATTTTTTATTTTTTTAAGATTTTATTTATTTATTTGACAGAGAGAGAGAGCAAGAGAGCACAAGCAGGGGGAGCTGTAGAGGGAGAGGGAGAAGCAGACTCCTCGCTGAGCAGGGAGCCCGATGCGGGACTCGATCCCAGGACCCTGAGATCATGACCTGAGCCGAAGGCAGACACTTAACCAACCGAGCCACCCAGGCGCCCCTGTGTTTGAAGTTTAGATCAATGGGATAATTCTTCATGTAACCTACCAGTGACTTGTGTCTTTTATTCAAGATTCTGGTGATGGTATTCATGCTGTTCCCTGCAGCTGCAGTCCCTCTTCATTGCTCTGTGGTATTCCCCTGGATGAATATACTAAAATTTATTTATCGTTCTGACTGTTGTTTATCTACTAGAGCATCTCCAGGTGTTGACAAATTTTTCTATTCCTAAGAATGCTGCTGTAACATTCTTATACAAGAGTTCTCTGAACTACATACCTAGAAATGGAATCCCTGAGTCTTGGGCATGCATAATCTTAACTTCATTAAACAATGCCCAACAGTTTTCCAAAGGTCCTGCCAAACAGCAGATATTACAGTGTCCACTGCTTCATATGCTGATTTATGCTTGGGATTCTCTAACATTTGATTTTGTGAATCTTGGGGATATTTACATGCATTTCCCTGATCACTTATGTGGTCAAACACCTTTTCAAATGCTTGTGGAACATTTTTGTTTCTTCCGTGGGATTCCTTCTGGCCATTTTTCTTACTCTGTGTAGGAATTCTTTATATATTCTTTATATTACCTGCATGACAAATATCCTTTTCCAAATTGTGGCTTGTATTCTTAACTCATTTCTATTCCTATAATGTTGGTTTCTTATGCTTTCTTTTTGTTTCTTGATCCTTTTCACCAGCATTTTGTCAACTTTATGCATCTTTTTGAAAAATTGCGGGCACCTGGGTGGCTCAGTCAGTTAAGCGGCTGCCTTCGCCTCAAGTCATGATCCCAGGGTCCTGGGATCAAGTCCCTCATCAGGCTCCCTGCCCAGCGGGGAGCCTGCTTCTCCCTCTGCCTCTGCCTGCAGCTCCCCCTGCTTGTGCTCTCTCTGTCAAATAAATAAATAAAATCTTAAAAGGAAAAAAAAGAAAAAAGAAAAATTGACTTCTGGCTTTGATCATCTCCTTTTAATTAATTTTTCTTAGCTGTATTTTTTCCTTCCATTTACTTTTTTTGGAGTATTATTTTGCTGTTTTATTTCAAACATTTTGATATGGACACTTAGCTCATTAATTTTGAGCCTTTAACTTTTGAGCTCATTAACTTTTGAACCCCTTCATATTTAAGATAATACATTTTTGCGTATATATATATGTATACATATATATATATATATATACACCACATCTTCTTTATCCCTTTAAATACTGTATTAACTGCATCCCACAAGTTATGCTACATAAGCTTTTCATATTTTCATCACCTTTGGTTATAAGTCTTTTCTAATTCTGGGACAGAGCAGGGACTGGACTGGAGTCCCCTCCATCCTGACTAGAAAATCCACTGTTCCTTGATAGCTGAAGCCCTATGCCTCTTGACTAGCATATCTTGCAGGAATGCAGAAGCAGGATGCCTACCAAAGGAAGGGTTCAAACTAGTCTGCGCCAGGATGCACCCCAGCGCTAGCCTATCACTGACCTTTCCCCTCGTTATAATACTAAAAACCACACCCGGGGGTACAGATTTCACATACTAATGAGACATGCATAGCATAAGGAAGCATGTCTCGTCCGTTGCGTCCGCGCACATGGCTTCCTGTCTCTCTCCACCCTGCATACTCAGACGTCACTCCTTTCCTGCCACAATCTCTTTAAAAACTTTCCCCTGCTTTTGTTTGGAGGGCTGGCATGAAAAACACTTTCCTTTGTGCTGTCTCCCATAAACCCCCATAAAAGCCTTGCCTGGAACTTCCTTTTGCCTCTGGTAAACTTGACTCTAGTAAATTTCTATTGCTCGGAGAACCCAAGGACCCTAGTTGGTAAAAATTCCATTGTAATTTCTTCTTTGACTAATGCTTTATGGTTGAAGAATTTAATTTTTTTGATCAACACGCATCAGTTCCCATGCCACAATGGGACGGTGAGGCGACCCTCCCATCACGAGTTACTTAGTCAAAGGGTGGGATGGCCAGAGCTGGAGGAACCGTCGGCATTGCTGCACTCTGGCATCAGAGTGAGGACGGCAGAAATGGGACAGCGTGGAGGGCACAGCTGCAAGGTGGGGGATCTCTGTGAGACACTGGGGAGAATGCTCCACGGCAGGTGTCCATAGATCAATGTGCCAAAGTTAAAAAAAAAAAAAATCCAAATAATCAGCAGTTCCAACACTGTTGAATTTTCAAACTTGTCCCACCAAGACAAGTTGTAGAGTAACAATCTAGATCTTTCCAGGAAGTGAAGGTGTAGCCCCTGGCACGCCTCCTGAGAACCCTATGTCAGGCACTACGAAGTATCTGCCGTTGCTGTAGCTGTCGCTCCATTTGCAACTTCTCAGTCTCAAGGACAACAGGGAGGAGGTGGTCCCAATCCACAAGGCTGCCCTGGGAAATCTCGGTGGTCTTTGAGCCACAAAGACGGAGATCAAAAGCGGCTCCAGCCCCAGACGGGACCCTCTCTGGGAAGATCTCTGTTAGTCCCCACAGTCTCTCCAACAGGATCTCATCTAGCTCCTCATCATCTCCCTCCTGCAGCTCCACCTCGGTCTTCTTGGCATCGCTCTTCGACAGCAGTTCATCCAGGGACGGGGCACCTCAGGGCTGCCGGTGGTGGCCAGTACTCTAATATTCAAGACATTATGTTCTCTGCTTTCACCATGTTATGATTCGGGGTGTCCATTTCTTTTTAGCATAATTGGAAACTTTTTGGCTTCCTGACTATGTGGATAAGGGTCCTTTTCCATCTATAGAAAGTAATCTTCCATTGTTTTTTTTCAAATATTACCTCTTCTCTCTTTTTTATTTATTCTCCCTCTGGAAGTATGATTAAATGTATGGTAGACCTTGTTGGTCTATCTTCCGTGTCATTTTAACTTTTACTTTATATTTTCTATGTCTTTGTCTGTCTGGGCTATATTTCAACTAATTTCTTCTGTTCTATCTTCCACATCCCTAATCATCCTTTCAGCTGCAGTTAGCCAGCTGTTAAACCTGTCTATTGAGGGGCGCCTGGGTGGCTCAGTCTGTTAAGCATCTGCCTTCAGCTCAGGTCACAATCTCAGGGTCCTGGGATCGAGTCCTGCATCAGGCTCCCTACTCAGCCGGGAGCCTGCTTCTCCCTCCCCCTCATCTCCTCCCCCCAACTCGTGCATGCTCTCTGTTCTCTCAAATAAATAAATAAAATCTTTTTTTAAAACCTATTGAGTTTTACATTTCAATTTTATATTTTTCTTTCCTATGAGTTGTTTGATTTTTTTCCACATTTGTGGCTCTTTTGTCATATTTTCAAGCCTCTTTTATTTTTTTATTTTTATTTTTTTTTAAGATTTTATTTATTTATTTGGCAGAGAGAGATACAGTGAGAGCAGGAACACAAGCAGGG